GTCCCTCAGAAAGGTGACAGTCCTGAGGACAGCCCTTCGCAGTGGCAATGACAGTAGCACGTCCCTGCCTGAGAGAGCAAAGGAGCAGGGGCTTGAAGGCGGGTCAGAGGCAGGTGGCGATGCTCGGGGGCTCCAGCAGGCCCAGTATCCTGGCCAGGCTTCCCCTCCCTCCTCTGCAAGAGGTGCTGAGCTTGCAGCCCAGCACGCGCAGGTTGTCCACCCTGTAATCAGGGCCAGGGCACAGTGCCAGGGGAGGCTACTAACTGAGGGGCCATCCTGGAGCCAGGCTGCCTGCCACCCCCCCATCCTGTCACCTGGAGGAGAATGCACTCGGGATACCTGACAGATTGTGGCTGCCCTGCCTCCAGGGTCCGAGCCCACTGCTACAGCTGACTGTATTACCACAGGGCATGGCGTGTGTAAGCAGGTTCCTGCCCCTGCTTCCTTAGCTGAACGAGTCAGCTGTGGCTCCAGGCAGCCAAGCCGTTTTGATTTCTCCCAGCAACCCTTCCTACTCAGAATAGCAAAGAAACCAAAGCCCAGGACCAAACCAAACCAACAAAGCAAGCACAAACCTAAACCTGCTGCCTTTCTTCAGACTAGGGGAGAGAGACCTTTCTGGCTCCACGCTTTTCCACCACACAAGAGCCGGTCCTCTCATGTCCCTCGGACACTGTGCCCCTGGAGCTCCTAAGCCTCTTTGTAGTTCCCTGCTACTTCCTTGCTCCTGAGTCCAGCAGGTTGTGAGGCCTCCAGCCCAGCAGACTGTGAGCTGCGGACCATGTGCAGCTGGGTTTCAAACCCCTGGGGACTGAGCATCTCCTTGTGGAGTGATGATGTGCTCCATATATTCTGGAGCCCCATGACCATCTTGTGGCTAGAGCTGCTATCTCTGGCAGCTCCCTAGAGTGTGGGCTCAGGCATCGGCCCTTTTGCTCTCTGGGCTTCGTACCTTTCCACCACGCCTGGGCCCTGGGACTGCCCTGTCCTGAGGGTGCCAGTCCTGTGCCTCCTCTTTGTGGGGAACTAGGTTCTCCCAAGGGGTTGAGTGCCCTGTGAGGTCTCCCTGGCTGTGTTTCTGGCCCTGTCCATGCCCTCCCTGAAGACTACTCACCTGAAGGACCTCCCTGTAAATGGGGTTCAGGTCCTTTGCCGGTTGCCTCTTCTGAGGGTCTGGCGTCTTAGGGGGACCTCGCTCTGTGAGTAGGGGTTGGGTCTGGGTCGTCTTGCCCTCTTGAAGGAGAGGAGGATTTTGTAGCACTGTAGCTCCAGTGTCTTGCTGCACCGAGCTCTCCTTTTGCTCTCCTTTGGCCTGGGAATGTTGCTTTTCTCATGCTGGAGCGTGCTGCTGTGAGAGAGTGGAATGGCTGGGCATGAAAGTGTTTTTTATTTTCTTTCTGTTCTTCAAACCACTGCAGCGTATTAAAATTTTCCTTCCCAGTGTCAGAGAAAGGGTTTGTTGTGCCCTGATGCACTTTTCCTCCCTGCTGTCCCCCAGGGTCCAAGCAAGAGTACAACTTCCCACCCCTTCCACCTTCAGGAGCATCAGGCCCCCTTGCACACTTTGGTCAGCACGATCAGCCCATGTTGCAGGCTTCAGGTCTTTTGCCGCCATTTCGGGCATCTCCCGTGGTCCTTTAGCCAGCTTGAGCAAGTGACCGCTTCCTAAATAACCATGGCAATCACAGCCTTCTGTCTTGAACGATGCTCCCATTCCCGAGACCATTCAGGGCAGGGTGAGTGCTCTTCTTTTCCGTGGTATTACGCTCCTCTGAGGGTGACCAGTTACAATAGTTGCTTTTAGGAGGACAGGGGTTGTGCTTCTGGGTAGTACAGGTGCCCTTGGAAGCCCTGAGCATTGTGAGCTGCCGGTAACTCAGCTTCAAGCTGCTGCTCCTTTGCTGCCTTAGGCAGTTCTGCTGCGGTCACTGCTACTGTGTGGGACCCCGCTGTAATCAGTGGTGTGGTTGCCTACCCCTTTGACATGGGGAGTCAAAGGTGGAGGGCTGTTGTACCACCTTGGGCACCATGCCTGCCCCATAAGGAGGGATGGAGTCTGCCCATCTGTTCTGTAGGCACCCTGTTGCTTCGTCTGCTGACAGAAACCAATGATCCCCCATGTAAGTAAGCATAGCCAGCTGTTTGCTGGGTAGGAGCACTGCCCTACAAGCAGGGTTCCAGGTGTCCTTGGGTCCCTGTTTATTGTGCAGCCCTAGCCATTTTGTCCAGGGCCCTGGCTCACTGCTTTCTGTGTCAGTAGGAGGCTGCTGGGAGGACCTTTCAGCGCTTGGAGCCATTTAGCGTGGAACCTTCCCTGTTTGTCCCAGTGGGTTGAGAATGTTTTTTCTTGCAGTGCATATGGTTGTTTGCAGCCTTTGAGGTGCTGTTCCAGGTTGGTTTTTTTGGTGGGTTAAGTGGTGGCTGTCCACCAAGGTTTTCCAAGTCATGTGTAGGTATTTCTCTGACAGATGGTTGAGGTTCTCTGTTTCTGTGCAGAAGAGCAGTGGTTCATTTTGGTCTCTGGTCTGGAGGAGTTGGAGTTATGTGCACTGGAACTTGCCAAGGCGCTTTGTGCTTGTAGTTTAGGACTTCGAGGGCACATTTGAGGCTGCCTGCATGTATCAGTTTGATGGGTATGAAAGTTCTCCTCACATGGATGTTTGAAAGGGAGAGGTTTTGATTTTAAGGCCACGGGTGGTGGGAGTTGTGAGCGGAGGGAAATGAAGGTAATTCCTGACTCCCTCTGGTTTTGTGACCCAGTGATGAAGAGGACAGGGTTAGGCCATGAAAGATGACTGGAAGTGTTCAGGGTGCCTGGAATGTGTGTTAGATGTGACATGTAAAACTGTAGTCATGGGTTGGGTTGTGTAGTTCACTGGTCCAAGCAGAAACTGCCTCAGAAGATGTTTAACTTGGAGTGAATCATTTTCTGCCCTCAGACTGTGAAAGTCTTATACCTGCTTGTACCATTAACATGGGAAGAAGTAAGTGCTTACCTCTCTGGACACTAATAACCATCTTGCCTGCCTGTGCCATGTGTCTCTCTCCCTTCTATAATGTTCCCTAATGAAAAAATGGTGGAAACCCAGGAAGTCACATTTCTTTTTCCAAATAAAAAGGACAGCAAACAATTGTCCGATGCATGTTTCATGGGTTTTTGTCTCCTGGCTTTTGTGTAAGCAAGTCGTGTCATTGCCTAAATGCCACTAGAGGCAAGGGAAACCTGTGAGGCTTCCTCAGCTCTTGCTTCAATATCTTTAGCAGGCCCTCTGCTAGTTCCCTCGTGGTGCTACTCTCCCTGAGGCTGCTTTGAGGCCACTGGGCTGAGGCCTGTCTCTGCCCTCTCCTGTGCCTGGAGTTGAGTGGCTCTGTCCCCTGAGGGGCTGCTCTGCCAGAAGAGCTCTGGCATCCTGCAGCAGCCAAATCCTGTTGCTGGTTCTTGTCTAAGCAAGTTTACAGCTTTCCAGCCCTTCTTCCTTCAGGAGGATTAGGCTCCCTTGAAATGCAGGCTGGATAAATTAACTGTAAGGTGAATAGAAAACTGGCTGGAGCATCCAGGCTCAGATGGTATTAATCAATGGTTCAGTGTCTAGTTGGCAGCAGGTATCAAGTGGAGTTCCCCAGGGGTCGGTTTTGGGGCTGGTTTTGTTCAGTGTCTTCATCAATGGCCTGGGAGATGGCATACAGTGCGCCCGCAGCAAGTTAGCAGATGACACTAAGCTGGGGGAGTAGTAGATACACTGGAGGGCAGGGCTAGGATTCAGTGTGACTTAGACAAATTGGAGGATTGGGCCAAAAGAAATCTCATGAGGTTCAACAAGGACAAGTGCAAAGTCCTACATTTAGGACACAACAGTCCCATGCTTTAGTAGAAGCTGGGGACCAATTGGTTAAGCAGCAACTCTGCAGAAATGGACCTAGGGACTGCAGTAGACAATAAACTGAATATAAGCCAACAGCATGCCCTTGTTTTGAAGAAGGCTTATGACATACTGGGTTGCCAGCAGATTGAAGGAAATTATTCTTCCCCTCTGTCCAGCACTGGTGAGGCCACATCTAGAGTATTGTGTCCAATTTTGGGACCCCCACTACAGAAAGGATGTGGATAAGTTGGAGAGAGTCCAGTGGTGGACAACGAAGATGGTTTGGGTAGGGGCTTAGGCACATGACTGATGAGAAGACACTGAGGGAATTGGAGAGAAGAAGACTAAGGAGGGATTTAATAGCAGCCTTCAACTACCTGAAGGGTGGTTCCAAAGAGGATGGTGCCAAACTGTTCTTAGTGATGGTGGATTACAGTACAAGGAGCAATGGTCTCAAATTGCAGCAAGGGAAGTTTAGGTTGGATATTAGGAAAAAAACTCTCTCACAAGGAAAGTAGTAAGCACTGGAACAGGTTACCTAGAGAGGTTGTGGAATCTCCATCTTTGGAGATTTTTAAGACCTGGCTAGACAAAGCCTTGGGTGGGATGTTCTAGTTGGGGATGGTGCTGGTTTGATAAGGGATTGAAGCAGATGGCCTCCTGAGGTCCCTTCCAACCCTAATTTTCTATGATTCTTTGATTCTTCTACACGACCCTGGCAAAGTCAGGTCAATGGTCTGGGCACCTTAATATATGGAGACAGATACTCTCTCTGGGTTGAGTTTGTTACTATCTTTGTAACTAACCAGTTTTACCTTCAGCAATTAGAACAAAATGGCAAAGACAGTTCTCCACACTAAACAGAAAGACTCCAGACCATGGTATCTGACCCACTTAATTGACAGCAACTACGGAAAAACAGATAGTGGCACATTTGAATCAATGGTGGAATAATGATAATGGCTGGTTATGTGTGGGCCTTTACTTCCTGACATGAACTGGGTTCCATGCTGTCTTGCTCATCACTTTTTCCCCTGTACTCACAAGGGAAGGATAAGGCCATGTGTCCATCAGTCAGCAAAAAAGGAACCTTTTATTAGGTTCACAAGGATTATTCATAATACACAGTCTTTTTACAAGAGCACTTTAATGATCTTGGGTCGGAGCACAACAGTCTTCACTTTTGTTGTACAAACAAAATGAGATAAATCTTTCTCATAGACTTCAGGAGAAAATTACACACTTGTAGCATTTTAATTTCATGAGCACCAAAATGGATCAGAGGCAATTAAATAATGGATGAACATGCATGAACAGCATTGATCAATCCACAGTCAGAGAACTCAGTCATAAGGGGAAATGATTGTCCAATCTCCAGGCGCTCTTTTTAAATGGGAGCTGCTTTAGAAAAATAAATATAAGTGTAAGAGCTGAACAGCTGTATCTTTCATTTTGTAATGTGGGATTGTAGTGGGGTGGAAGGAGACATCAGGGCTTCATAGCAATAATGAGGAAATGCCCTTCATTCTAGACCTTCAGTCAGGGAGCGTAGAGAAGGAACGTGTCACACCTGGTTAATGCATTTAAGAAGTACTTGCAAGGGGAGTTTCCTCCTCATATGTAGGGATTTCTGCAATTCTCATCTATTTTAAACAGCTCCATCTCCCTGGAAAAATAAAAATATAAAGATAATTATATTTTCTGAAAGCCCTGTGGTTTTTAATGGATTTTAGTACTGTTTGACAAGGCTTGTGGGAAGCTGTCAGAATGCTTTGCTTCAATATTCCTAACCTCTCAGACACTCAGATTACACTTCAGCAAGTGCAGTTATTTTGGTTTTTTGAATCACAGTTATTCCAGACCAAACAATCCTAGAGCTGCCTTTTGGGTTGCTCTACACTGCAGCAGCTTGTAAAGTCCCTCTTGAAGCCATTATGCCAGTAATTATCACCAGGGCACAAAGGGCTTTGGCTCTATCTCTTACTGGTTCCCACCATGCTATTGACATGCCCTGTATATCATGAAGACTGAGAGGAGGTGGGAACATGGAGTTGGCTTCAGTTCTGTGTCATTTAGCTATGATCTTGTGGCTAAGGAAACCCTTTTATGCTGACTTTGGGCAGCTTTAAATCCCTTCCGTACCACTGCAGCAGTGCACAAGGGACTTTGCTAAGGCTAAGGGTCTGGCCAGTAACTGTGATGTATTCTACACTGTGTCCCTAAAAAAATCCCTCAATCCTCCATAATTCACTTGGGCTTTTTTTTTTTCAATTTCCTGTTACATTTGTTTGAGGGGACATCTAGTATTGCAAGTAGTGACATAAAGAAAATACCCATTTGCTTACCCCACAGCATCCGCAACATTTGCAATCCCCACAGAGCGTTCCAAAGAGGCCATTAACAACCTGAATGGCACAAAGCACTGCTTGAATACCGCTCATCACCAGCAGTAAAGAGAAGAGGGTCAAATTCCAAGGAACTATGTCCACAGGTGACTGACACTGACTCCACAGTGAATTGTCACTTAAATAATTCCTGAGTAAAAAAGAAAAATAATCTAGGAGACAATACTAGTAATGCACAAACTACAGTGCTAGTGCAGCTAACAAATTTGTTGCATTTGTAATGTGAACTAATTCAAGTCCCTCTATCCATATTACTGTAATTTAATTTCCATATCACTTTTAATGGTATTGTATTTACATTTGTTTGCCCCATGTAGAATGTATTTTGAAGTCAATTAATAGCATTTATAAACAGTAATCTGACTGTGGCAGGAGAAAACAGCAATCAAATTTGTTGGATGTAGGTTTGTAATACAATTTAGATACTACATGATAGTTTGTGAGGAAGGAAATGTGAAAAAAAATCAATGTCATTTGACGCTCACCTGAACTAGCATCAGTCTTTCTTTGAAAGTCAAATGCCTTTTTAATAGGTAAACAGGCAGACAAGGTTCTTTGGGTTAATGTGATATCTTTTATTAGGCCAACTAAATAGTTGGAAAATTTGCTCTTTGCGAGCTTTCGGGTACACACACTCTTTGTCAGGTACAGGGAGTGTTTGCCGTTGTTTTGTGCTCTCCTGGATGGGATAGAAGCCAGTATGCAAGAAAGCAGGCCAGTGAGAATGTAAATGCTTGGCAGTGAGGGTCAGAGGGGGGTAACAGACAGGTGGGGGTGGGGAACAGAAAGGGGGAATGCTGACCTGGTTATAGAATGTAGCTGGTAAATTGTAGAGAGGTTACCTGAGGTTATCTGATGGCACACAGGTTATAATGTGCCATAAATCCAGTGTCTATATTTAGTACATGATTTTTTGTATCCAGTAGATTGATGAAGTTGTAAATACATTAATAGGTAAAGACATTAGGATTTCTATTCTGTAGTTGTACAGAGCACCCCTGACATCTAGTGGTAAATTAAATGGATCCACCATGGATAAACTGCTTTTGGAACACAGGAAACTTGAATTCCTGCCTTGTATAATCCCATTGTTCTCATTTGATCACTAATAAAGGTTTGTATATACATAGATTTCAATGCTTTATCCTCTGATCTTGGATTAGGGCATGGCAGTTTAATTGACTTGAGCATACAAAATGTTAATTTGACTTCTTTGGGAGTTTCAAACATGGAAACAGTGATATATTTCATATTTAAACATTTCTTTTCATTCTTATTTTCTGATATAACACCTATAACAAGAGAAAGAAATGCCACCGTAAAATGCTGTGATAAAAGGTAATGAACGTTTCTAACAAAAAACAAACACTGCCCAGCTACCCTTATTACAGCTTATGCTGAAACTCAGACAAGGTATTACACCTTCCTATTTTAAAATCCTGCCCAAAGATAAAATGTAATATAGTAACAGTGGAATAATAGGTCTAATCCTCATGCTTTTGCCATATTAAGTCCTTTTCATCAGCTAATTGAAAAGCGACTTTAAAAAGTATTTCCTGTAGGTATTTTTGATATTCTGTGGACTGTAGTCGTAAGCCCAGGAGGCACATTTATGGTCATGTAGTGCAATGCAGGTTATACATTCCTTCATCTTGGCTGACAACATGCAGTTGAAATAGAGCACATGTTTTATAAAGACCTCCACACTTGGTTTAGAGACCCCAAGTGATGGAGAATTTTTCACATCCCTTGATCATCTCTTCCAGTGGTTAATAGCTCTTAATTTACTGACTTTATTTTCGAGCCACTGGATCCTCTGGGAATCCAGGGATATGATCTCCCTATCCAAATTCTATTCAAGTAATAAATATACAGGTTTATTTCTGTGACATCACAACTTTCAGCTGCATGGTGTGGAAAACAGACAGCTCCCTGCAGCTTCCACAACTAAAATAAACTGATATGAAGACAGATCAGATCAAAACAAATCTAAGACAGTGATGAGTTTCTGTTTATTAGGGTTCTTTGATGCCTTGCAGTTTCAGCCAAACCAGGCATTGAGAATCTAGAATAACACCCTAGAATGCTGTGCAATGTGGCTTTGTCTGCTACACAATGCTTCTTCCAGCAGGCAACTGCCTTTCTGTGGTGGTACAATGCAATTTCCACTTTTAATTCCCAGGACAATAGCAATGCCACAAATTTCAGTGACTATATTGCAGCTTATCTGAGTAGCCCTTGGGTGATGCCATGCAATATCTTACCCATTCAGAAACGGATATGTCCAGGTGTTGTTTGTGTTACATTTAGGTCCCTTATTCAGAGCAAATGCTGACAAAACAAAGCAGTAACCAGCTCCCACAAATCCTACTGCAGCAAATATTATAGAAGAAAACATCTGATAGAGAAAGAAACATATGACAAAGTTATTTTTCTATAACTGCAGTCTAACATATATCGCATGTCTGCTGGCCTTCCTCTTTTCTCTTAAACACAGTCCCATCTTGTCTTCCCTCCTCTCCTTCCTTTGTCAGTAGTTTCATGGAGATACTACAGTGAACATCTTGATATTGCAGGAAGTGGTAATATTTTGACTCAGTAGAGGGCACTATTCCCTCTACAACAAGGAACCTCAACCTTTTGGCCCCACAGCCCAGATGTGTGACACAAAGACAGCTTGTGGGCCAAACTGGGCTCTGGGGCCCAGCACTGCCTTCCCTGCCCCACACACCAGGATTGGACCCCGGGAATCTGGTGACACCCCATCCTGCCCCCCCCCCCACTGGGATTGGGTCCTGGGGGCCTGGTGCTGTCCCCTTCT